AACCCCTGAATTGTCAAAATTTTCGGGGGCTTCACCCCCAGGACCACTTTTGGAACCTATTAATTGAAGCTCGACCACGCCCACTTTGCTTTCACTTTGCTTGGGGGAAATCTGGTCCCTCGTCGGGGCACCGCCCCCTCCCCCCGGTCAGGGACCCCCGAATCCTGGTGCCACCTCTGGACCCCACGCCCAGAGAACTCCCCCTTAAAATTACCTGGCTACGGGCCTGCAACCATAGAGATCTTATTAATGCGTGTGTGTGTGTACCATAGAAAACAAAGCTTAAAAACATTGTCTTTGAGTATGTACGTTACATAGGCCTACTTCAAAAACGTGATTTCACAACCACCTCAGCCCCACCATGGTGGGGCTGAGGTGAGAAAATTTGAGGAAATGGTACCTCTCGAGATGGCAGGAAATGACACTTTTACATAGTAAAATTCATCATCATCACATTACCATTATAGTCAAAATGAAACGCCAACAAATTTCTCATGATCTTTTATGAGGGATCTACTTAATATCCAGCATAATTTAGGCCTAATTATAGCTTACTAAGCTTGAACTATATATACTATAGTATGATCAACAAATCACAACTTTTTTTTTCGCATTTAGCACAATTTTCTTCAATTTTATTGCTATTAATATTATAATCAGTTATTACTCTCGTCATCATCATCATTGTTATTATTATCATTATTACTATTAGTAGTAGTATTATTACACAAACATTAAAAGAAACTTACAAAAGGATAAAAACGAAATTGAACTACAGTATCGCATTTCTATCTTAAAAGGCCTGGCCTGAGATTTATGGATTTAAGATTTTTTTTAAATCACGCTTAGGCCTATGTGTTCTACTAGGTCTATGTATAACGTGTACTGATGCATATTTACATGTTTAGAAGTATTCATTTTGTGTGATCCCAGGAAAGAATTTGTATTGGCTCAAGAATAAGCCTTAACATTTTAACACTGTGTACAAAAGGGGGGGTGGGAGCCGCGGCTCCCACGGCTCAACCCCCTCCCCTGAATACGTCCCTGGCGACGGGATGTTTTCCTTAAGATCTATCAAATACTGGCGGTTTCCATTCAGAACACTTGGAAAAGCACGATGCGAAAGCATACGTGAATTCAAAACCTCACCATACCTTGACAACACGCACCTCACAACACTATCTGGAACTTCAAATTCCACATACAGCACAGTGACAGTCACTCTGCTATCATATGGCCTAATATTCGGGCCCGAAACCAACTTACCAAACTCACTTGCCGCACGACGGCAAATGACAGGTGACTTAAACGATACATGCACTTAAATTACGTGTTGAAATATATGTACAGTAATAGAATATTTCGAAATCCTAACTCAAGAGTTTTGTAAGTTATTGCATGCACATATTTTCGTAGAATATTTTATTAATTTATCTATCCTACGTAGCCTCTGTATCGGCTTCATCCCATATATTCATGTTTATGTAAACTACTTAAATCTGCGCTCTTGGGAAAAAAATACTTTCACTATATATGCGATGTTATTTTACAAGAAAACGTACTGAGTTCGGTACAATAATACAGGTCAGGTAGGGCAAAACAAAAAATCACTCCTACGATTTTACCTGAAGCAAACTGTCATCCTAATAATAATTCTATCGTTTGTAAATATTTTTCCTCAGTAGAGGATGGGCTGCTTCTGAAAGGACTGGAATATCAGGGCAACCCGTGGCCAGGACGGAGCAAACTCCTACTCCATGGCCTAATTCTAAAAATCAGTTTAATATTCGAAGCTACTCAATGAGCAGCATTTCAGATATTAAACTGAAAAGAACAAATATTACACATGATCTTAGCCAAAAGGCCGAGAAGCGATGCTGGAATAACAATACCAATGCTATCAATATAAAACAACAGAATGCTAGAATATTGGTGTTGGAAATGCTCTTCACTCTATATCGTAATAGAAATGTACTTAAATTACGTGTTGAAATATATGTAATAAAATATTTCGAAATCCTAACTCAAGAGTTTTGTAAGTTATTGCATGTACATACTTTCGTAGGATATTTTATTAATTTATCTATCCTAGGTAGCCTCTGTATCGGCTTCATCTCATATATTCATGTTTATGTAAAATAGCTAAAATCTGCGCTCTTGCAAAAAAAAAAAAAAATACACTCACTAAATATGGGAATTTATATTACAAGAAAACGTACTGAGTTCGGTACGGTAACAGGTCAGGTAGGGTAACAAAAATCGCTCTTATGATATTACCTGACGCAAACTGTCAACCTAATAATATTTCTATCGTTTGTAAATATTTTCCTCTGTAAAGGATGGGCTGTTCCTGAAAGTACTGCAATATCAGGGCAACCCGTGGCCAGGACGGAGCAAGCTCCTATTCCATGGCCTAATTCTAAAAATCAGTTTAATATTTGAAGCTACTCAATGAGCAGCGTTTCAGATATTAGGCTGAAAAGAACAGATATTACACATGATCTTAGCCAAAAGGCCGAGAAGCGATGCTGGAATAGCAATACCAATGCTATTAATATAAAACAACAGTATACTAGAATATTGATGTTGAAAATGCTCTTCACTCTATATCGTAATAGAAATGTACTTAAATTACGTGTTGAAATATATGTAATAAAATATTTCGAAATCTTAACTCAAGAGTTTTGTAAGTTATTACATGCACATATTTTCATAGGATATTTTATTAATTTATCTATCCTAGGTAGCCTCTTTATCGGCCTCCATATATTCATGTTTATTTAAAATAGTTAAAATCTGCGCTCTTGCAAAAAAATACTTTCACTATATATGTGATATTATATTACAAGAAAACGTACTGAGTTCAGTACGATAACAGGTCAGGTTACAGTTTAAAAAAAAATCATTCCTATGATATCACCTGGTGCAAACCGTCGTCCTAATAATAATCCTATCGTTTGTAAATATTTTTTCCTCTGTAGAGGATGGGCTGTTCATGAAAGTACTGCAATATCAGGGCAACCCGTGGCCAGGACGCAGCAAGCTCCTATTCCATGGCCTAATTCTAAAAATCAGTTTAATACTCGAAGCTACTCAATGAGCAGCGTTTCAGATATTAAGCTGAAAAGAACAGATATTACACATGATCTTAGCCAAAAGGCCGAGAAGCGATGCTAGAATAACAATACCAATGCTATTAATATAAAACAACAGTACGCTAAAATATGTTCTTGGCTCTTTTTCACCAAATCTTCCAGAAGAAATTGAAGAAAAATTTGACAAATTTTGTAAAAGGCATGCTACAAGGGCATGGAAAAAGAGAAATGAGATCAAAAAAGAAAAAGAAAGTTTTTGATTTTAGTTCTGTATTGCTTTATGACTTTTGTAGAGGATAGGCTGTTCCTGAAAGTACTGCAATATCAGGGCAACCCGTGGCCAGGACGGAGCAAGCTCCTACTCCATGGCCTAATTCTAAAAATCAGTTTAATACTCGAAGCTACTCAATGAGCAGCGTTTCAGATATTAAGCTGAAAAGAACAGATATTACACATGATCTTAGCCAAAAAGCCGAGAAGCGATGCTAGAATAACAATACCAATGCTATTAATATAAAACAACAGTACGCTAAAATATGTTCTTGGCTCTTTTTCACTAAATCTTCTAGAAGAAATTGAAGAAAAATTTGACAAATTTTGTAAAAGGTATGCTACAAGGGCATGGAAAAAGAGAAATGAGATCAAAAAAGAAAACGAAAGTTTTTGATTTCAGTTCTGTATTGCTTTATGACTTTTGATTTACTTTATATGCTTCTGTGTTATCTGGCCTGATATGTGTGCTTCTTGTGGAATAAGTGGTGTAGTATATAGAATTCAGTATGTACTGTATGTCTTTATGTTTGTAATTGTGAGTACGGTACAGTCATGTGACTGGGTATACAGATGGATATATATGTACTTATTAGACTGGTTTCTAGTCCCTAATCTTTGTCTTAAAATCTATTATGACACCAATGGCGTTCCATATTACCTATTTGCTTGGCGTTTCATTGTATACTTTTTCTTGTATTTTTCTAATTCGCATAAAATTTTCTCAATATATACCGTCGCTGGTGGCGCTCTCCAAAATTAACTAACACTAGGAAAACCTATAATTAGAGACTTGTGGCAAGTCTAATGTACTTATGTACTGTATGTGTATTTCATGTACGATTGTATGGTGTTTGTATAATTGTTGGTGTGATTGTTTGCATCACTTTATTTTTCCTCAAGTTTTTTTAGTTTAAGATTGCTTTTAATTTTATATTGCTGAACATTTTTTTTTAATGGTGTCCACTTTATAATTTGATGCATTTATTAATTAATTGAATAAACGTTAATTAAATATGATAAAAAAAAAACCGTGGCCAGGACGGAGTAAGCTCCTATTCCATGGCCTAATTCTAAAAATCAGTTTAATATTCGAGGCTACTCAATGAGCAGCGTTTCAGATATTAAGCTGAAAAGAACAGATATTACACATGATCTTAGCCAAAAGGCCACGAAGCGATGCTAGAATAACAATACCAATGCTATTAATATAAAACAACAGTACGCTAGAATATTGGTGTTGGAAATGCTCTTCACTCTATATCGTAATAGAAATTTACTTAAATTACGTGTTGAAATATATGTAACATCAGAATTAAAAAAAAAAAAAATCCGAATAATAATAATAATAATAATAATAATAATAATAATAATAATAATAATAATAATAATAATAATAATAATAAAAATTAGTAGTACATACCCACATACCCATGAGGTCAGGATGACATGTGTTCAGGATAAATATTATCGAAAAATATCGAAGCTTGATAAGACGTATTGAAGTTTTGTACATAGATCACTGGATGAAAAGTCTATCCAGACATTAACACAGTTAATAGAAATGAAATCATTTTTCAATTTGGGATTACGCACAAAAAGAAAATGTTTAGTATCTTCCTCTCCATAACCACAGATCTCGCATTGGGTGTCTGTGTTGTCTATACACCATTTGTTACTACGTTTACCAAGTGCTAATGTATTTGATCGTAGTTTAAATTTGAGACTAGCTCCATGGAAATTTGTCATGTCTAAGAGGTAAGGTTCTAAACCAGGTTTTTCTTTTGCATGCTAGTAGTCGCCAAGTGAAGATTTTCTCTCAACCTCCCCTTTCCAAAATTGGGTATATGATTCTTTAATTGAATCCTCGAAGGATTTCACCCAATTAGATTTGAAACCTATAAAAACATTATTCGCAATGGAAACAAAATCAAAATTAGCTTTACAACATGAATCAATAAACTCCTTAACAAGCTGATATCTTAATTTACAATCGTCTCAGCTAATAATCGTATTAAGCATAAGTTTTGGCCAGCGGTTCATTTCCATACATATCATATTATCTATATACTTTGCTTTAAGGATATCTTGTGTAATTTAAATTGGTTGCCAACCGAGGTCCTATGATATTACCTGGCGCAAACTCATACTAATAATAATTCTATCGTTAGTAAATATTTTTTCCTCTGTAGAGGATAGGCTGTTCCTGAAAGTACTGCAATATCAGGGCAACCCGTGGCCAGGACGGAGCAAGCTCCTACTCCATGGCCTAATTCTAAAAATCAGTTTAATATTCGAAGCTACTCAGTGAGCAGCGTTTCAGATATTAAACTGAAAAGAACAGATATTACACATGATCTTAGCCAAAAGGCCGAGAAGCGATGCCGAAATAACAGTACCAATGCTATTAATATAAAACAACAGAACGCTAGAATATTGGTGTTGGAAATGCTCTTTCTTTACTTCATATTGTAATAGAAATGTATTTAAATTACGTGTTGAAATATATGTAATAAAATATTTCGAAATCCTAACTCAAGAGTTTTGTAAGTTACTGCATGCACATATTTTCGTAGGATATTTTATTAATTTATCTATCCTAGGTAGCCTCTGTATCGGCTTCATCTCATATATTCATGTTTATGTAAAATAGTTTAAAATCTGCGCTCTTGGGGAAAAAAATACTTTCACTATATATGTGATTTTATGTTACAAGAAAACGTACTGAGTTCGGTACGATAACAGGTCAGGTAAAATAACAAAATCGCCCTATGATATTATCCGACGCAAACTGTCATCCTAATAATAATTCTATTGTTTGTAAATATTTTTTTCCTTTGTAGAGGACAGGCTGTTCCTGAAAGTACTGCAATATCTGGGCAACCCCTGGCCAGGACGGAGCAAGCTCCTATTCCATGGCCTAATTCTAAAAATCAGTTTAATATTTGAAGCTACTCAATGAGCAGCGTTTCAGATATTAAGCTGTAAAGAACAGATATTACACATGATCTTAGCCAAAAGACCGAGAAGCGATGCTGAAATAACAGTACCAATGCTATTATTATAAAACAACAGAACGCTAGAATATTGGTGTTGGAAATGCTTTTTCTTTACTTCATATCGTAATAGAAATGTACTTAAATTACGTGTTGAAATATATGTAATAAAATATTTCGAAATCCTAACTCAAGAGTTTTGTAAGTTACTGCATGCACATATTTTCGTAGGATATTTTATTAATTTATCTATCCTAGGTAGCCTCTGTATCGGCTTCATCTCATATATTCATGTTTATGTAAAATAGTTTAAAATCTGCGCTCTTGGGAAAAAAAATACTTTCACTATATATGTGAT